CAAGCCTGTAATCCCAGCACTTTGGGAGGCCGAGGCGAGTGGATCACAAGGTCAAAAAATCGAGACCATCCTGGTCAACATGGTGAAACCCCGTCTCTACTAAAGCTACAAAAAATTAGCTGGGCATGGTGGTGCGTGCCTGTAATCCCAGCTACTCAGGAGGCTGAGACAGGAGAATTGCCTGAACCCAGGAGGCGGAGGTTGCGGTGAGCCGAGATCGCGCCATTGCACTCCAGCCTGGGTAACATGAGTGAAACTCCGTCTCAAAAACAAACAAACAAAAAAACAAAAACAAAAACAAAAAAAACACATGTGCAGATCAATAGTAAGGAAACACCCAGAGGCAACCATTTTCACCATTTTAGTACACCTCCTTCTGGTCTTCTTTTCTTTTTGAGATGAAGTCTCACTCTGTGTCCCAGGCTGGAGTGCAGTGGTGTGATCTTGGCTCACTACCACCTCTGCCTCCTGGGTTCAAGCGATTCTCCTGCTTCAGTCTCCCAGGTAGCTAGGATTACAGGCATGCACCACCATGCCTGGCTAATTTTCGTATTTTTAGTAGAGACAGGGTTTTGCCATGTTGGCCAGGCTGGTCTTGAACTCCTGACCTCAGGTGATCCACCCACATCGGCCTCCGAAAGTGCTGGGATTACAGGTGTGAGCCACAATGCCCAGCCACCATGTGGTTTTCTTTTTGTACATCTTTTTCTGCCCATTGTCAACATCGTATTGGGGATTATTTGAAGAATCTTTCTTTCAAATAATCATCTAATACCCATCATCGTTTTGGCTTTTGCATCTAATATGCATCGTCTTTTTGGCGTTTTGGAGACAGTCTTTCACTCTGTAGCTGACGCTGGAGCGCAGTGGCACAATCATAGCTCACTGCAGTCTTGATCTACTGGGTTCAGGTGATGCTACTGCCTCAGCCTCCTCAGTAGCTGTGACTATAGGCATGCTCCACCATGCCCAGCAGATTTTTGTATTTTTTGCAGAGATGGGGTTTCACCATGTTGCCCAGGCTGGTCTCCAACTCCTGAGCTCAAGTGATTCTTCCACCTCAGACTCCCAGAGTGCTGGTATTACAGGAGTGAGCCACCATGCCTAGTCTCATTCTTCTCTTTATGAACTTTTTACAAACATCTTTTTAAAAGATTAGATGTTTTAAATAATTTCTTCAAATTACCATTAAAGAACGTCACTGGAACAGTTGATGTAATTTGTATATGACTGCAGGACACCAGATGCATGCTAATAACATTCATTCTTGTTTTGGAAAATTGTGCTCCAGTTACATAAGAGCATGTCCTGGATTGTAAGGGGATATTCCCAGTTTTGGGGGGGGGTAAAGATATGTGGAGCCTACATCTTACCTTTTTTTTGGGGGGGGGGACAGAGTCTTGCTCTGTTGTCCAGGCTGGAGTGCAGTGGTGTGATCTGCAGCCTCTGCCTCCTGGGTTTAAGTGATTCTCCTGTCTCAGCCTCCTGAGTATCTGGGATTATAGGCATGCACCACCATGCCTGGCAAATTTTTGTATTTTTAGTAGAGATGGGTTTTCACCATGTTGACCAGGCTGGTCTCAAACTCTTGACCTCAGGTGATCCACCCACCTCAACCTCCCAAAGTGCTGGGATTACATGTGTGAGCCACTGTGCTAGGCCTCTAACTGTCTGAATGGTTTAGAAAAAGATGATGAGATGACGTGTTTGTGTGCGTGTGTGCATGTGTGTGTGTGTGCGTGTGTGTGGATAGAGACAGAATGTTACTATAAACTTGGCAATGTGTTAATAGTGGTGAGTTGAACGAATTCTTAGTATGATTTCAGTAATTTTTCTATAAGTTTGAAATTATTTTAAAACAAAAAATGAAAGTTTAACTTTTTGTTATAAAAGTGTTCAGTTGGCTGAGTGCGGTGGCTCATACCTGTAATGTTAGCACTTTGGGAGGCCGAGACGGGTGGATTACCTGAGGTCAGGAGTTCGAGACCAGCCTGGCCCATGTGGTGAAACCCTGTCTCCACTAAAAATACAAAAATTAGCCAGGCGTGGTGGTAGGTGCCTATAATCCCAGCTACCTGGGAGGCTGAGGCAGGAGAATCACTTGAACCCAGGAGGCGGCAGTTACAGTAAGCCGAGATTGCACCACTGTACTCCAGCCTGGGTACAGTCACATAGAAAGACTAATATAATAAAACTCAATAAGCTTATCACCCAGATTTCACGATTGCTAATGCTTTGTCATGTCAGCCTTTTTTTCCACCCCTAAACCTGTGTTCTTGCTGTTTGAAGTGTTTCTGTCCAACACAGAACATGTCCAGCTGACCATGTATGTTTGTTTAGCCAAAGAAGTCCCATTTGCAGGTGATTTTGGCTGTATTGAATTTTAGACTCTACCCCCTATGTAAGGCATGCCCCACTGTGCCATCTCTGTCATTCTTTTGGGAATCAGGTCAGGGCCTCCACTGTACATACCCTAACTTTTCAAATCTGAGACACCGTCAGTTGCGTGATACATTATTATTATGTGTAACAGTAAGAAAGAAAAGCAACTGCCAATTAAGGATGTAGGACGCATCCTGAGTCGGGATGAGCTGGAATGTGAGACTGCAAGTGACGTGAGGGCAGTGGATTGTGGCCATGGGGGCAGTAGGGTGGCTGTTTTTGTTTCTGTTGCCTGTTCTGGGGTAAGCTTACTATGGTAAGCTGTGACAGGGCCAGCCTGGTGCATTGGATTCTCCACAGACCCATTGGCCTTACAGAGAAAAACCCCAGACCCAGGTTCAGTTTTTCATTCTATTCCAGGGATGCCCAGGATACAGGCCTTCAGTCAGACCCAGGTGGTGGATCGAAATCTGGGACATCCATGGTGCCAGCCACTAGGACATCAGCAGAGGACCTTGTGACCCTGGTAGGAGGCTGGGTGGTCCAGGTGATGGGAGAAATTGTCTCGTGGGAGACAGATAGAGCTTGGGCCTCCATGGCTAAGCATTGTACGGAAATGGCCCATGTCCATGACCCAGTTGAAGGTTGTTGGCAGGCAGAGGTGGGGTCCCTGTTTATTACATGGAGACAGAACTAGTAGGATGGATGGATGGTTGGATGGATAAATAATAGAGTGGCAGATGATAGGTAGATGATAGATGGATAGATAGTGGATGCATACATGATAGGTGGATGGATAGATGATAGATAGATGGATGATTGATAGATGATGGATGAGTGGATGGATTGAGGGTGAGAGGGGATCTACTAGGGAAACTGGATCATGTGATTATGGAGAAGTCCTATGCTAGGCTATCTGCAAGCTGGAGACCCGAGAAGCTTGTAGCATGGCTCAGGCCAAGTCTGAAGATCTCAGACCTAGGGAAGCTGATGGTGGAATTCTCAGTCCACAGAGAACCTGGAATGACTGGGGTAAGTCCCAGAGACCAGTTCTGGAGTTCTGATTTCCAGGTGCAGGAGAGGATGACATCCTGGCTGCAGAAGAGAAATCACATGAATTTACCATTTTGCTGACTTTTTCTTGTGTCTGGACCCTCTGCTGATTGGGTGGTGCCCAGTCACATGGGGTGAGAATGGATCCTCCTTATTGAGTTCACTGATTCAAATGCCAGTCTCATCTGGAAACACCCTCAGAGGCACACACTCAGAAATAACACTTTACCAGCCATCTGGGTATCCCTTGACCCTGTCAAGTTGACTCCTAATATCACCTATCACCTGGATTCCTTCAGCCTCACCTGCAGTGTTCTCCCTGCTATGAAGGCCACATTTGTAACATGGACTTCAGCATTCCTCATCACCAACACCTCTGCTGATTGCCTGGCTCGGCTTCCTTTCGTGGAAGAAGGATGCCCACCTTTGTGTTAACTGGAGCTTGCCAGGCGAGCAGATTGTTGGAGACACCATGGGAGAAGCAGAGCCTCGGGAGGGGGACGGAGTTTGAATTAAGAAGCTCCTTCACTGACCTGGCTCTTAATTCACTGAGCAGGTGAAACTGACTGCTGTTTTTGTGCTTAGCAATGTTTAGTCCCTGAGGGTTCAGGAAGTAGAACAAAACACATACTCTTTTTTTTTTTTTTTTTTTTTTTGAGACGAAGTGTTGCTCTGTCACCAGGTTGGAGTGCAGTGGTATCATCTCAGCCCACTGCAACCTCCACTGCCTGGGTTCAAGCTATTCTCGTTCCTCAGCCTCCCAAGTAGCTGGGATTACAGGTGTGCGCCACCATGCCTGACTTATTATTTTATACATGTATTTTTTGAGACAGAGTTTCACTCTTGTCACCCAGGCTGGAGCGCAATGGTGCAATCTTGGCTCACCACAACCTCTGCTTCCTGGGTTCAAGCGATTCTCCTGCCTCAGCCTCCCTAGTAGCTGGGATTGTAGGCATGTACCACCACACCTGGCTATTTTTGTATTTTGAGTAGAGACAGTGTTTCTCCATGTTGGTCAGGCTGGTCTCAAACTGCCAACCTCAGGGGATCCGCCTGCCTTGGCTTCCCAAAGTGCTGGGATTATAGGTGTGAGCCACTGTGCCTGGCCTTTTTATTTATTTAATTTTAATAGAGACAGGTCTCACTGTGTTGCCCAGGCTGGTCTCCAACTCATGGCTTTTAAAGATCCTTCTGCCTCAGCCTCCCAAGTAGCTGGGATTACAGGCATGATCCACCATACACAGCTGAGTTCTGGTTTATAACAACCTAGGCTGCCCTGGGGAGGGTGGATATTAGGGATGAGAGTGAAGGCAGGGAGACCTGGGTGGGCACCTCAAGGCCTGTCCATGAAGTTCTTTCATGCCTCACTGGGAGCCTCTATTATTATGACACAGGGTCTCACTCTTTTGTCCAGGCTGGAGTGCCGTGGTGCCATCTCAGCTCACTGCAGCCTCCATCGCCTAGGCTGGAGTTATCCTCCTGCTTCAGCCACACGAGTTGCTGGGTCTATGGGCACGCGCCACCACACCTGGCTAATTTCTTTTTGTAGAGATGGTATCTTGCCATGTTGCCCAGGTTGTTCTTGAGCTCCTGAGCTCAAGCAATCTACCTAACTTGGCCTCCCAAAGTGCTGAGATTACAGGCATGAGCCTCCATTTATTACCCAGAGCATTTTCTGAAAATTCAGTGAGATAAATGTCATAATAAGCTGTCCCCTAGTCCTGAGTAAATGCTGGGCAGGTTTTAGTTGTACAAGTTGTATTTATTCATCTCTACACTTCCATCTTGCCAGGGAGGGTGTGGTGAGAACTGGCTCAATGGGCTTGAAAGCGGGCCACCTGAAAGGGGGCTGGCTCTGTGAGTACCATCGTGTTTAGGGATGCTTAGCTTGGGGCCAGGACATCATTTCCTAGGAACATTGACAGATGGATTACTTGCTTAATTCCCAGAGGCATAAGCCAGATCTGGCACGTAACCCCTGTGGAACCGGAGACAGTGACAAGAACAACCCTGTCCTAGGCTGGAATTTCCTAGTTTGGCCCTTTACACACAGATCCCTTTAGTTAACCAGAGAAGGGAATGCAGCCCGTGCAGCCCTGGGCTGCTGGGTTTCCTAGGCTCAGGGACCCAGATGAGGGAGGCCTGGGCTTGGGGGTCTGCATGGCTTCTTGGACCCCTTTACAAAATTTCTTCACCCCTGAGTGACTTCCTCTCAAAAGTCAGGTGTGCTGGGGCACAGTGGCTCATGCCTGTAATCAAAGCACTTTGGAAGGTGGAGGTGAGAGGAGGTCATGAGTTCGAGACCAGCCTGGCCAACATGGAGAAACCCCGTCTCTACTAAAAATACAAAAATTAGCTGGGTATGGTGATACTTACCTGTAATCCCAGCTACCTGGGAGACTGAGGCATGAGAATTGCTTGAACCTGGGAAGGAGAGATCGCAGTGAGCTGAGATTGCACCACTGCACTCCAGCCTGGGGGAAAGAGTGAGAGTCCATCTCAAAAAAAAAAAAAAAAAAAAAAAAGGAGCAGGCAGGTGTGAGCGATCTCCCTGCTTCTACCTTTGGGTTTGAAAGCCCAATGCTTCATTGGTTTGTGTGCAATCATTTTATGTCCCTTTTTTTTGTGTATGGCCTCTTAGAGCGTAGGACCATTTTGGATTGTGGTTTCTGCTGGCATGACTATAAAATGCTTCTGTGACTCTGGAAGAGTTTGGCAGTTTTTTTTTTTTTTTAAAGTTAGACACAGTGACCATACAGCCAGCCACTCCCTTCCCAGACATCCACCCAAGAGAGCTGAGAACATATGTTTATAAAAGACTGATACAGGAACATTCTTAGCTACTTTGTTTGTGATAACCCAAACTGGAGGTAAGCCAGACATCTATTAGCAAGTGAACAGACCGATTTACCCGTTATGTGCATCTGCACAACTGAATACTAAGTTATGTACAAGAATGAACTCTTGGCTGGGCACAGTGGCTCATGCCTGTAATCTCAGCACTTTGGGAGGCTAAGGTGGGTGGATCACCTGAAGTCAGATTAAGACCGGCCTGGCTAACATGGTGAAACCCCATCTCTACTAAAAATACAAAAATTAGCCAGGTATGGTGGTATGCACTTGTAATCCCAGCTACTCAGGAGGCTGAGGCACAAGAATCACTTGAAACCCGGAGGCAGAGGTTGTAGTGAACCGAGATGGCACCACTGCACTCCAGCCTGGGTGACAGTGAGACTCCATCTCAAAAAAAAAAAAAAAAAAAAAAAAAAAAGGATGGTCATGGTGGCTCACGCCTGTAATACTAGCACTTTGGGAGGCCAAAATAGGTGGATCACCTGAGCTCAGGAGTTCAAGACTAGCCTGGGCAACATGGTGAAACCCCATCTCTACTAAAAATACAAAAATTAGCTTGTCATGGCAGCTTGCACCTGTAGTCCCAGCTACTCGGGAGACTGAGGCAGGAGAATCAGTTGAACTAGGGAGGTAGCGGCTGCAGTGACTGGAGATCGTGCCACTGCCCTCCAGCCTGGGTGACAGAGTGAGAATTCGTCTCTTAAAAAAAAAAAAAAAAAAAAAATGGCTGGATATTGTGGCTCATGCCTGTAATCCCAACACTTTTACACTTTGGGAAGCCAAGGCGGGTGGATCACCTGAGATTGGGAGTTCAAGACCAGCCTGACCAATATGGAGAAACCCCATCTCTACTAAAAATCCAAAAAGAAATTTGAAGAGAAATAGAGTTTGTCAACGTATCCTGGTAAAGTCAAGGGACTAGGGTGTAAGAAGAATATGATGTACAAGGCAGAATGCAGGGGCACTGGAGCTAGAAGTGATCTTAGGGAACACGGAGTCACAGAAGAGCAACGAGATGCCATTTCTTGCTCAACTCCAGTCCGCTGGCAGCAGTCATGTGGAGGGCTGCTTGAACATAACTCAGTGGGAAAGAACGCCATGAGTGACTGGGTGTCTGCTGTGTGCATGAGAAGGAAGGGAAGGGCCTAGTATTTGACATGTTTGAGATCTAACCCCTTCATTTTCCGTGTGACAAAATCTAGAGCCAGGGAGGTAAGCTAACTGGCTTTGGGGTCACACTGTGAGCTGGCAGTAGAATGTGGCAGGTGACCTGACTCTCAGAAGAACATTCCTCTAAGCCAGGGGCTGGCCAAAAATGTTCTGAGGTCCACATACGGCTCGTGAACGCAGCATGGATTTCATTTTTTAGTTTTTTTGAGATGGAGTCTTGCTCTGTTGCCCAGGCTGGATTGCCGTGGTATAACCTTGGCTCAACGCGACCTCCACCTCCCAGGTTAAAACAATTCCCTTGCCTCAGCCTCCCAAGAAGCTGGGATGACCGTCATGCTCCACTGCACCCTGCTAATTTTTTTGTGGGGGCACAGCGTCTCACTCTTTTGCCTAGTTGGGAGTGCAGTGGTATGATCTTGGCTCACTGCAACTTCCGCCTTTTGGGTTCAAGTGATCCTCCTGCCTCAGTCTCCTGAGTAGCTGAGACCAAAGGTACGCACCACCATGGCCAGCTAATTTTTTTGATTTTAGTACAGACCGGGTTTCACCATGTTGGCCAGGCTGGTCTCAAACTCCTAGCCTGAAGCAACCCACCTGCCTCAGCCTCTCAACGTGCTGAGATTACAGGCATAAGCCACAGTGCCCAGCCAGATTTCATATATATATATATATATATA